TGGGCCTCGCAAGGCGTTTTGCCAAGCCTTCCCAGCACACTTAGGGCGATCAGGGGGTCATCGGAGACGTCCCAGAGACCCCCAACACAGCACAAGAGCGCTCCAAAAGTGACCGACGTGACCTCAAGATGGCCCAAGAGGCCTCCAGGACGGCCCCAAAGAGGCCTCCAAGAGCACTCCCAAGAAGGCCCCCCGAGACAAAAATCATGGATTTTCTGTTGGTTTTCGGTGAATTTGGGTGTTCTCCTCTTTTCGGCTTCCCGACGCTCCAAGACGGCGGTCTTCCGGGCATCCGAAGCCGCCTGGGAGGCTCCCAAATCGCCCCACAACCATCCGAAAGGGCTTCCAGGCAATCCAAGAGAGCCCCAAAACGGCACAACACGGGTCCAAGATGGCCCTCAGAGAGCCCCATGGCGGCCCAAGATGGCCCAAAGACACCCTCCGAAGAATTCCAAATCGTGATTCGGTCGTTCAGGGAGACGGCGGTTGGAGGCAGGGTGGCCCGAGGGAGCCCCCGGAGGCCCCCAGAATACACCCAGGAGGCCTTCAGAAGGCCTTGAGAAAGCCCGAAACAACTTTTGTGAGGCCCCTAGAGGCTCTCCAAGGAGGAGCGTCCGCAAAAAAGAGCTGAGGAGGATGGGGAAAATGCGCAGGGTATGGCGAAAATAAAAAACAATAAGCATGGAGGAAGGATAACGAATAACATCATTATAGCGGCGATGCCGGAAAAGGCAACCAGGAGTTATCGCTAAATTGTCGGCTTGACCTTCCTGCCATTCCGCCTGCATTCCAAACTTCAAGGACCAAGGTGCATGGCGCGAAGCGTCACTGCAGTCTTGTATATATATATATATATATATACATATATATATACATATATATATATATATATCCCTCTCGCTCACTTTCTCTCGCTCTCTCTTTCTCTCCCTTCCTCGTCCTCGCCCCGTTCACCATCCTGGCGCGCGCCCTGGAGCAAGCAAGAGCAGAAGACGCTGCGGCCCACCCTCGCCTCCCGCAGCTCCGCGAACAGCCCCAGCGCCTGCCGCCACGCCCCGCCGGCCCCGCATGCGCTGATGCCGCTGCCGTAGATGACGGCGCTGGGCTCCAGCCTCGCCTCCCGCATGTTCCCGAGCAGCGCCAGCGATCGCTGCCACTGCCCGCCCTTCCCGCACGCGCCGATCCCGGCGCCGCAACTGACGGCGAAGGTTTTCTTGCTCGGCGCTTCGTCGACAGTGGGCGGAGGGGGGGGGAAGGGGGGTGGGAAGGGGAGGGGTCTAGCTCCGGACCTCTGCTCAGTGCGACCGTTTGCAGCAGTGCGTCCTAATGGAGGGGGGGGGGCTCCACCCGCTTGGAGCAGGCGCCAAAGACAGCCGAGATCTGCTCCGTGGAAGGGGGGGGAGGGGGGGGAGGGGTGCGAGGGCCCGCGCCCGTCGGCAAAACAGCGAGTCAAGAAACGACCGCATGACGTCCAGCTCCAGCCCCGCCTCCCTCATCTCCGTGAGCAGCGACAGCGCCTGCTGCCAGCGCTGGCCCCTCCCGCAGGCGCTGACGGCCGCCGTGCAGAGCCTGTGGGACGGCCGCGGAGCGGCGCGCAGCTGCTCGCGCAGGAGCCGCAGCGCCGCGCCCCACTGCTGCGGCGCCCCGCGCTCCTCGACGCCAGCTCCGAGAGGGGCGCCTGCGGGGAATCGGCAGTCGAGACACGACCCACTGACAACGACCCTCCTCCTCCTCCTCCTCCTCCTCCTCCTCTCCTCCTCCCTCCTCCTCCTCCTCCTCCTCCTCCTCCTCCTCCTCCTCCTCCCCCTCCTCCTCCTCCTCCTCCTCCTCCCTCCTCCTCGGGAAGGGGAAGCTGGAGCGTGCGTGCTTCTACGACCGTCCCGCGCACAGTGAAGCACACACGCCACTTCGCCACGTCTGCGGGCAAGCACACACACACACAAGAGTCGCTCTACGCGCTGGCCACTCCCCCGGAGCACCTGGGAGGCCTCCGCGCCGACCGTCCGGCATCCAGCTGCGGTCGGTGCCATGCTGCGGTCGGTCCGACACGTCCAATTCAGCTGCTCCTGCGTTCGGAAAGCATCGCTAGAATGTTGAGCCATGGTGGCTTGGAGTATGCCGGATCGGCTGCGGACGAGAGGCGAGAGCCGGCGGAAAGCTTGGCCGCAGCCGAGGAGCGGGAGCCTCAGGGGTGGTGCCGTGCGCCACGTTGCTGCTCCTCCTTTCCCCCCTCTCACCCTCCCCTCCCCTCTCCTCCCCCCCCCTCCCCCTCCTCCCTCCTCCTCCTCCCCCTCCTCCTCCTCCTCCGCCTCTCCTCCTCCTCCTCCTCCCTCCTCCTCCTCCTCCTCCTCCTCCTCCTCCTCCTCCTCCTCCTCCTCCTCCTCCTCCCCCTCCTCCCCTCCTCCTCCTCCTCCTCCTCCTCCTCCTCCTCCTCCTTCTCCGAACCCTCGATCTAAACCATCCCACTCCCGCTCCCCTTCCTCCACCCCATGTTCCAAGTACCCCCTCCCTCTCGCACCACCACGCGTGTCGTCAGGGCGGGCCGGGCGCGACGTCCAGGAGTGCCTCACCGCTCGAAGTCCCCAACAGTGCGCACAGGCAGGCGGCGCTGTGCTTCACGACGAGGCTCTCGCCCCGACGCCGGGCACACCCGTCCTGAAAGAGCAGCATCTCTCCGCGAATGGAGGGCGGGTCAATGCCAAAATGAGGGTCACTACATTATGCCCGTCGGTCGGAAGAATTGGGTAAAAACATGAAGTAGGAAGGCGTCGGAAGCAGATCGGGCTTCCGCCCGCCACTCCAAGATAAGGGGAAAGGGGAACCCACTCGATCATTGAAGTAGGAAGGCGTCCAAAGCAGAGCGGAATCAAAGGATCCAACAGGTACCGACTTTTCAAGGACCAACGAGTATCTACTCGAGAGCTATCACGGTTGCGCAAGGGACATGCGGACGGAGGTCGCCGCTTTCGAAGCGGGGCTGTCGCTGGTAGAGTTAGGTCGGGCATGTCCTCCTACATGCGGAATTCCTGGTGAACAAAAAAGACAAAGCCTAAACATACACAAAATCTAAACATAGTCGACAAATCGTCCCCATACTAGGTTTTGACCATGTTTGGAGATCCCTCCTGTGGAGGGGCACGCCCGACTTAGTGGCAGAGGCACAAAAAAACACAAGATCCAAAAATAGTGAAAAACGTCCCCATACTATGTGTTCACTATGTTTGGATATCCCTCCTGTGGAAGGGGCACGCCCGACTTCGTGGCAGAGGCACACACAACAGCACAAAAAAACTAAACTGCTGGCGGTCCGCGCGGATCTGGGGCGGCTGGGAGGACGGAAGGCAGCAGCACCCTCCAAGGACGGAGCTCCCACCTGCATCGAGGGGCCCGCGCGGCGCTGGAGGAGGAGGGGGAGGGGGGGGAGGAGGGGGAGGGAGGAGGGGGGAGGAGGCGGAGGAGGAGGAGGAGAGAGGAGGAGGAGGAGGAGGAGGAGGAGGAGGAGGAGGAGGAGGAGGAGAGGACGACACGCGACGACGACGACGACGACGACGACGACGAGACGAGGGCGGGGACGAGGACGAGGACGAGAGAGGAGGGGAGGGGGAAGGGGAGGAGGAGGAGGAGGAGGAGGAGGAGGGAGGAGGAGGAGGAGGACGAGGAGGAGGAGGAGGAGGACGAGGGCGGGACGAGGACGACGAGGACGAGGGAGGAGGAGGAGGGGAGGAGGAGGAGGAGGAGGACGAGAAGAGGAGGGGGAGGAGGAGGAGGAGGAGGAGGAAAGGGGAGGCGGAGGAGGAGGAGGAGGAGGAGGAGGAGGAGGAGGAGGAGGAGGAGGGAGGAGGCTCGTCCTTCAGGGTGGGTGCGTGCCTCGCGCAGCGAAGGCGATGCTTGCACGGGGGCTGCTACAGCGGAGGCCAGTCCACAAGGAACCCCTCCCAAAAGGAAGCCCGGCCCTGAGACCCCAGGGCGTTCGCTGAGGTTTGGTGTGGGGACGCCACGCTCCCCGTGGCAAGACCCTCGAGGCCCATGAAATCCAGGGGCACCCTGGAGGCAGGCGGGGCGTTTCTTGGTGGCGTGGGCTTCCGCTGTCAGGAGGGGATCTGGGACAGAAGGGTGTGTGTTGCAGCATCGTTGACACACCTCGAGTTCGCCCTGATCTTCCTCCTCCATTGCTGACGCACCCAAGGTTTAATCTGGCTCTCCTGCTTCTGGGAGACGTAAGACTCGGGTACGGGGGACTCGGGTTGGCCTGACGGGGGCCACCCTAAGAATGACGAGACACAATCTTAAATTTGACGCGGGCTCCCGCTGCAGACATTCCACGAAAACTGCACCGTCAAAATACAGGGCGCGCTCGTCAAAAAACTTCGGCAAACCCGAGGTCCGGCTTACTCAAGTCTTACGTTTCCCTGCTACATCCAAGGTTTACTCTGGCTCTCCTGCTCCATCCCCTCCTCCCCCTCTGCCCAGCTCAGATCCCTGGCATGATGTCGGGCGTGTCCCACTACAGGCGGATTCGGGACGAAAATTTCAACATACGTAGTCAAAAGAAGATGTGCAACAATGCATGCAAATACTCCGGACATCGTCCCCCTACTGCTTGTTCCTGCTGTGTCTGAAGACTCCTCCTGTAGAGGGACACGCCCGACTTACATTTGCCCTGGCACTCCTGCTCCCTCCCCTCCATCCCCCCTCGGCCCGGCCCAAATCCCCGGGCACGCTGCGACACGGAGCCGCCAGCGCAGGCAGCTGCCGGGCGGGCGCCAGGCGGGCGCCGGGCGGCGCACTATGCTGAGCCCACGACGCATCGAGGCCGCCAGCTGCTCCCGCTGCTCCAGGGCGTGCTTCTCCATGCACGCCTTCACCTCGGCAGGCCAGCGATGTTCGGCTCTTGCCAGGGGGGCCACATGAGAACCCTGCCCCTGGCCCCCACGATTTCTGAGGGGGAGGGTGGGGTTCGCTTCGTTCGGGAGATCCCGAGCGAAGTGAACGTCATCTTTCCCCTTCAGAGATCGTGGAGGGGTAGGGTTCGCATGTGGCCCCCTACTTGCTGAGTGTGGCGCGGGAAGGACGATCAGACGAACACCGCAGAAAAAGCTGAGGAAGAAGGAGCGACGGGAGCTGTCGTAGTGTACGGAAGAGGTGGCGGCAGCAGCCGCCCAGAGCTCGCGAGGAGAAGGCGAGGCGAGGCGAGCACCGATGGCCGCTGCCGCGCGCGCGCGGCTGCGCCTTGCAGGCGGCGGCGGCGGGGCCGTAGCCGCTCATATGACTCAGAAGAGGTCTCGAAACCAGATCAGTGAAGGGGGAGGAGGAGCAAGCAGGCTGAGGAGGCAACGGAGCAAGGTGGGGCAGGAGGGGGGGAAGGGGGGGAAGAGCGGCAGGAGGGAGGGAGGGAGGGCAGGGGGAAGACGGACAAAGGCCGCAAGGAAAGTCAGAGAGGAGGGAGGGGGGTCCTTTTTCTCTTCGCTTCGCCGTGCGATTCAAGGAAAGCGAGCTGAATTAGCCAGCAACCGACCTTCGGGCGATTGCCCAAAGCGTTGCCGATGCCAAAGCGGCTCCACCGAAACCTACCCCAAGGGGAGAAAGGGCCCAAGACAATCAGGATCTGACAACTCTTCACAGAAACTGCACCTCTGCACTGAAGCCTGCGCCAGTCCTTCCACGAATACCCCCACATCATTCCTTACCAGCCACCGAAAGCAGGAAAGCCACCTAGACGCCAACCTGTAGGTTTGGATTTTCTTACACCAAGCCAGGCTGGGGGCAAGATAAGCAGAGAGATGCCCAAACAGCTTGCGCCACTGACATTGGGTGCCAACACATGCGATGAAATCAAGGCGACACGAGGGAGAATTGCCGATGCGGAACTAGATCAGGGCCTAAGCATCCAAGTGCGAAGCTTTCAGAATACATGTACCTAGAGTGTTGTCTGGGCTGCCCCACAACGAAATCCTATTCGCCTGGCCTGCCTTGCCCTACAAGTGCATGGAAAGCCACCAATGTTCCTTGCGTATCTCACAGGCGGGCAAGCGAATTGACAGAGTCAAGTGCAGAAGACCGGGGAAGACTAATCCCACGGCCGCCTCAACGCCTCTCGCGGTGTATTGTCCCGCATGGCATCGAGCCAGTTTCTGGCGCTCGACGCAAACATTACTGTTTGGACCTCCGCTGGCTGCACTTCTGGTCCGGGCTCGCTTGCCTGGAGCATGTCAGTGCTCCTGTGAACCTGAATGTGCACATCACCGCAGCTCCAAAGCGAAGGTCACCCGCCACCACGTGTCTGGACTCGCGGCTGCTGCGCCTGACTGGTGCCAAACGTCGTCGTCAGCGTCGTCGTCGTCGTCGCCGGCGCCTGCCCTGAGATCCGACGTTGCAAAAAAAAATGCAACATCACAGGAAATCACGACTGGAGTTAGGTCGGGCATGTCCCCCTACAGGCGGATTTTGGACGAAGCATGAAACATAGGCACACAAGAAATACTCCAAACAGATCCAAAAATACTCAAAAAAACGTCCCCTGACTACGTATTTGATGGACTATTTTGAAACATGTTCCTCGTGTAGAGGGACACGCCCGACTTGAGACTGGAGCCCTGGACCACATCTGTCTGCGCAATTTCTCGAGCCGGACCGATCTGCGAGGGCCTCGAGAGGCCCGCAGCAGGGCACGGGAAAAACTGACGTGGTGACAAACTGCAGCGCCAGGATCTCAGGGTGCGCCGCCGTCGTGCTCGCTGTGGAGAAGGGGGAGGAGGAGGAGGAGGAGGAGGAGGAGGAGGAGGAGGAGGAGGAGGAGGAGGAGGAGGAGGAGGAGGAGGGCGAGGAGAGGAGAGGGCGGAGGCAGGAGGAGCAGGAGGAGGGAGGAAGCAGGAGAGGACAGGGAGGAGGAAAGAGGAGGGAGGAGGAGGAGGAGGAGGAGGAGGAGGAGGAGGAGGAGGAGGAGGAGGGAGGAGGGGGAGGGGGGGGGAGGAGGAGCAGGAGGAGGAGCAGGAGCAGGAGAGGGAGGAGGA